CACAATATTAGCTTTCTTCCAGTCTTCTGGAGCTTTTTCAGTGTTCTTATTGAAAATCAACATTAATGAGGCATATTGGCACACTGCTGAACAAGGGCAGAGTTAAGGTTGCATGGACAACTTTAGCTCTGCATTTCCTGGTTTTCAGAAGTTTAAGTTCTTCTTTGAGTGCATTCCACAATAGGTGTGCTTGCTTGCCACGTGCACCGGTGCTGGAAGTTTTTCCCCTAGTGACCCTTGGAGTGGCACCACCATGGCACGGTATAAGGGGCGCTGCACTCTCTCCCCACTCTCAGTTCCTTCTTGCCACCAGTGAAGGTGCTTTGGAACTGCTGTGCTCCAGCTCTCTGCTGTAGCTTTCCCTGTTTGGATTGTCATTTAGTTCATAGATAGTTAGTACCTGTAGTTCAAAAAAAAAAAAGTTAGAGAAGTGCGCCCGGGTCGGGTCAGGGCATGCCCCGCGCCATGGGCTTTAAGTCGTGCGACACTTGTAAACGGCCTATGCTCATGAGTGATCCACTCACTAGCTACTTACGCTGTCTTGGAGAAACCAACCTCAGCAACCACTGCAAAATTTGCAGATCATTTAAGCCTTGGACTAAGGAGGAGTGGGACGTATGGCTCCAAGCCATATTGATGGAGTCGGCCTGGACCCTGACACCGCTACGCCGTTCCGAGTCGGCACCAAGCACTGCAGCATCAGTGCGCGGCAACCCATCGGTGCCTTCCACCAGCTGGCACCACTCCCCATCCATGGGACACTCTATGAAGACGAAGAAGAGGTCTTCTACATCAAGGCACCGGGGCAAGGCTGGGGGTGAGACTAGACCCGCGTTGGGCATCTCTCTATTCCCCTCGACCTTGCAGCCTCCGACTCAAGTAGAGCGGAGTAGCCCAGCCCACTCCGAGACGCCCTCTGCGGACTCCAGTGGCCACATATGGGTGCCCTCTATGCAGGAGACCCTGCAGGCGGCTCGATACGTAAAGTCTCTCCCGGTACTGACTGCACGGACCCCAGCGGCTCCCAGTTCCAGAGACAAGCCAGCACTCGGACTGCCACAGTCACCACCCGGGCGGTACTGCTCACAGTCGAGGGAAGGTTCCTGACACCGTTCTCCGCAGAGTGACCACCCTGCTCACAGTCCGCACCAGTCCCCGTCAACCCCACTAGATTGTCTGGCTGGGTGCTGAGCAGAAGGGATTTGAGGCACCTCTCTGCATCGAGAGAGTGCAGTCCTCGAGGTCAGAGCATGGCCCACTGGGACTGGGACTGACGGCACCAGAGGTTGCTGACTCCAAGAAGCCACCGTAGCCCCTCACGGTACCGATGTCAATGCCGCTCATGCTCTTCGTCCCAGTTGAGGTCCCCAAGAGGGCACTGCTCCCGCAGCCTCAGGCATAGATCGCCAGCAATCGGCTGTCGTGGATCGGCCCGACAGAGCTGTTCATGGAGCAGCCGTTACAGACAAGTGCCGGTGCCCTCGGTTTGGCTCCAGGAAGGGCCTGGGAAAGGGGGCAATTTCCGACGGCTTCCTTCTGTCCTAGTCGGGTCAGCTTCTATATGCTTTTTCCCCAATTCCGCTGATCAACAAGGTCCTGGAAAAAGTAAAGACAGACAGGGCTCGCATCCTCATGATCGCCCCGGCATGGCCCAGGCAGCACTGGTATGAGACTCTTACGAGCCTGTCCATTGCCCCCCCATGGCCGCTGCCAACCCGCCCAGACCTTCTCTCTCGGGACCAAGGTTGCCTCCACCTCACAACATGGTTGCTCAATGGCTAGGCCACGAGGAGGGGACCTGCTCCGAGGGTGTCCAGCGAGTCCTCCTGGAATGCAGGAGGCCCTCCATGCATCAGGCCTACCTGGCAAAATGGTCAAGGTTCTCCCGGTGGGCCGCTGATCACAACGTCTCTCCAGTGACTGGGGCGGGGGGTTTCATCAAGGAGAAACAAACAGAACTTTCACACCGTAGCCTGGCCAGTCATGAAACTGGTTTTCAAAGCTTCTCTGATGCGTACCGCGCCCTCCTGTGCTCTTCTAACCACCCTGGTGTCTGGCTGCGCGTAACCAGCAGCCAGGTGATTTGCCTCAACCTCCCACCCTGCCATAAACATCTCCCCCTTACTCTCACAGATATTGTGGAGCACACAGCAAGCAGTAATAACAGTGGGAATATTGGTTTCGCTGAGGTGTAAGTGAGTCAGTAAACTGCACCAGCGCACCTTTAAACATCCAAATGCACATTCTACCACCATTCTGCACTTGCTCAGCCTGTAGTTGAACAGCTCCTGACTACTGTCCAGGTTGCCTGTGTACGGCTTCATGAGCCATGGCATTAAGGGGTAGGCTGGGTCCCCAAGGATACATATAGGCATTTCAACATCCCCAACAGTTATTTTCTGGTCTGGGAATAAAGTCCCTTCCTGCAGCTTTTGAAACAGACCAGAGTTCCTGAAGATGCGAGCGTCATGTACCTTTCCTGGCCATCCCACGTTGATGTTGGTGAAATGTCCCTTGTGATCCACCAGTGCTTGCAGCACTATTGAAAAGTACCCCTTGAGGTTTATGTACTTGCCGGCTTGGTGCTCCGGTGCCAAGATAGGGATATGGGTTCCGTCTATGGCCCCACCACAGTTAGGGAATCCCATTGCAGCAAAGCCATCCACTATGACCTGCACATTTCCCAGGGTCACTACCCTTGATATCAGCAGATCTTTGATTGCGTGGGCTACTTGCATCACAGCAGCCCCAACAGTAGATTTGCCCACTCCAAATTGATTCCCAACTGACCGGTAGCTGTCTGGCGTTGCAAGCTTCCACAGGGCTATTGCCACTCGCTTCCCAACTGTGAGGGCTGCTCTCATCTTGGTATTCATGCGCCTCAGGGCGGGGGAAAGCAAGTCACAAAGTTCCATGAAAGTGCCCTTACGCATGCGAAAGTTTCTCAGCCACTGGGAATCGTCCCAGACCTGCAACACTGTGCAGTCCCACCAGTCTGTGCTTGTTTCCTGAGCCCAGAATCGGCGTTCCACAGCATGAACCTGCCCCATTAGCAACATGATGCATGCATTGGCAGGGCCCAGGCTTTCAGAGAAATCTGTGTCCATGTTCTGATCACTCACATGACCGCGCTGACATCACCTCCTCGCCCGGTATTGCTTTGCCAGGTTCTGGTGCTGCATATACTGCTGGATAATGCGTGTGGTGTTTAATGTGCTCCTAATTGCCAAAGTGAGCTGAGCGGCCTCCATGCTTGCCTTGGTATGGCGTCCACACAGAAAAAAGGTGCGGAACGATTGTCTGCCGTTGCTCTGACGGAGGGAGGGGCGACTGATGACATGGCTTACAGGGTTGGCTTCAGGGAGCTGAAATCAACAAAGGGGGTGGCTTTACATCAAGGAGTATTTCAGGCAGGACTTCACGGAGGGTTCCAATAAGAAATGGTGCACCTAAGTTATTTTTCTTATTGGAACAAGGAGGTTAGTCTGGCCTCTGATTGATACATAGCTAGATTTACCTCACTGCACCTTCCCTGTGAGTGACTGCAGTGTGACCTAGAGGAATGAGTCCCCTAGACTGGGGAGGAGGCAAATGAGTACAAAACAAATCTGATCTATTTCTTGTTTTGATCCACTCCATCTATCTTTTACATCTTTGGCTGGCAGCAGACGGTGCAGAAGGACTGCATGCCATCCACATCTCATGGCTGCTCGGCAGAAGATGGTACAGTACGACTGCTAGCCATCCTCATCTCTTGCCTGTCCAGCAGAAGATGGTACAATACGAGTGCTAGCCATCCTCATCTCTTGCCTGCCCGGCAGAAGATGGTACAGTGCAACTGCTAGCAATCCGTATTGCCTGCCTGCTCACCATAAGACGGTTCAATAGGACTGACTGCAGGACTAAAGAGAATGACCTGGTCAAGTCACTCCAAATTTAGTCCCTGCGCCCATGTCTGCCCAGGCGCTCCCAGCCGACATGGCCAGGAGCACCTCGGACACTACGATGACGGCTACCAGTCGTCTTGCACCGTCTGCTGCCAGAAGGCAATGGGTTGCTGCTACTGTGTAACAATGCCGTACCGCGTCTGCCAGCACCCAGGAGACATACGGTGACGGTTACCTGAGCGGGCTCCATGCTTGCCGTGGTATGGCATCTGCACAGGTAACTCAGGAAAAAAGGCGCGAAATGATTGTCTGCCCTTGCTTTCACGGAGGGAGGGAGGGAACGGGGGCCTGACGATATGTACCCAGAACCACCCGCGACAATGTTTTAGCCCCATCAGGCATTGGGATCTCAACCCAGAATTCCAATGGGCAGCGGAGACTGCGGGAACTGTGGGATAGCTATCCACAGTGCAACGCTCCGGAAGTCAACTCTAGCCTCGGTACTGTGGAAGCACTCCGCCGAGTTAATGCACTTAGAGCATTTTCTGTGGGGACACACACACTCGAATATATAAAACCGATTTCTAAAAAACTGACTTCTATAAATTCGACCTTATTCCGTAGTGTAGTCATACCCTGAAACATGTTACAATATGTTAGGATTAGTTAGTTAAATTTCAGTAAAATTTTTGGTTAAGGTATAGCTAAGCAGAACTCAGGTTTTACTATATAGTCTGCAGTCAATCAGGAAGAAAGCGGGGGAATGGGGGTGGGGGAATTGGAATCATGTTTTGCTAAGGGGGAGGAAATTGGAATCATGTTTTGCTAAAGGGGTGAATGGGAACAAGGACACAGGTGTAAGGCTCTGTGGTGTCAGAGCTGGGAAGGGGGACACTAAGGAAGGAAACTGGAATCATTGCTTGCTGGAAGTTCACCCCAATAAACATTGAATTGTTTGCACCTTTGGACTTTGGGTATTGTTGCTCTCTGTTCATGCGAGAAGGACCAGGGAAGTGAGCGGGTGAAGGAATAAGCCCCTAACAAGCACCCGAACCAGATGCACAAACAGCTGCCCATAAGTCTTTAATGGGCTCTTGGCTCTTTTCTCTCCAGGCAGACATTTCCAGTTTTCTTCCAAGTGATGATGGCTCAGCTGGAGAATTCAGTGAGAAGCATTCCTGCTGGGAAACCATCGGACTCAAGTGAGGTAGGCCAGCAAACACATCTGAGATCTCCAGCAGGGATTTACAAAACACAAGCCAGGAAACTGCAGGAAAATGCTACAGTAGTAGTGTCTTAACAATGATGTCCTGGCAGGTAGCCGAAACACAGACACACAAAATAACCTTTTGAGTATGGCAGTCTACCAAACTGCTTAATAGCTAGCTGGTACCCTGGCCAAATTCCCCATTAACCCAGCAACAAAGAATGTAGGCCATACTTACAGGGTGGGGGACTATATACTGGGAAGCAGTGACTCTGAAAAGGATTTAGGGATAATCAGTTGAACATGAGGTCCACTGTGAGCTAATATGATCCTAGAATGCAGAAATAGGGGAGTCATGAATAGGAGTAGAGAGGTTATTTTACCTTTCTCTTTGGTATTGATGCAAACCATTGCTGGAATAATGCATCCTGTTCTGGTACCCACAGTTCAATAATGTTGTTGATAAATTAGAGAGGGTTCAGAGAAGTGTCACAAGAATGATTAAAGGGTTAGAAAACCTGCCTTATAATGGTAGACTCAAGGAGCTCAATATATTTAATGTAACAAAGAGAAGGCTAAGGGGTGACTGCATTACAATCCATAAGTATGTACATGGGAAACAAATATTTAATAATGGGCTCTTCAGTCAGTCAGAAAAAGGTGTAACACAGTCCAATGGCTGGAAGTTGAAACTAGACAAATTTAGGCTTGAAATAAGGCATACATTTTTAAGAGTGAGAGTAATTAACCATGGAATTTATATCTAGATTGACTGTTTTTCTGAAATATCTGCTCTAGGAATTATTTTGGGGCAGTTCTCTGGCCTATGTTATACAGGAGGTCAGACTGGATAATCACAGTGTCCCTTCTGGCCTCAGAATCTTTGAAAACATGCATTGCCAGAAAACAGGACTAAACTTAGTAAAATTAAGTGGAATAGATAGGTCCTGCACCCACCTAGGAGTAAGAAGGAATTTTTGAATAGGGAGCATATGTTGGGATCAAGTAGGTGGATTGTACATGATTAATTCCCAGTCATTTTATGGGCCTGGGCACTGGTGGAGCTTGTTTCTTTCCAGACATTGTCTTCTGTGTTTTCATGGGCAACAAACTTATCTAGTAGTTCTAGCAAATGATGTGGGGGCGGGTTGTGTTTTGTGTCTGAACGGCCACATGGCTGAATGTGTGACTGTGGACTCTGCTCGTGAGCTGGGAAGTGGTTTCTCCCCGGCTGTTTCCAGGGTGAATAGAAAGATAGATTTATCAGATGGAGAGAGTATAAATCTGGCAGGTGAGGCAAGCTGGAATGGCTACTGAATGATTTTGACTTTCACGGGTAAATGTTTGTGGAGTCTTTTAAGATGTAGGATCTCAAACACTGTTTCTCAAACATGTCCCTTCCCCTTTGCACAGCAGTGATGCCTCAGGCTCTGGCAGGATCTGGGCTCTTTACCCTCTGTGTGCAGGCACAGTGCATACTGTAGTAGCATCCAGTAATATGAAGGGAAATGCAATGGCTCTGTGTGGACAACAGGACTGGATTACTGTGTTGTCACTCCCCAGGTACAGCTAGAGAAGCTGCTGCACTGGAACATGGCGGTGCGGGATTTCCATATCCTTGTTAACTTGGTCAAGGTGAGCACATTCATCTTTCCTTCCTTTCACCTTCCCAGCAGAGTCCCACCCATCGATGCCTGAGCATGCAAGGAAAACAATGTGACTTACACTATTTTGGAGAAATGGTCTGTGATCGTGTAATCAGAGCCAACTGCAGTGTGTACTCATGGGGTGGCACATTCAACCTTCACTTTGGCACATCCTCACTCTTGTAGCCTTAGCATTCTAGTAGCATAGTTTTTTGTATGGACAAATAATACAGACAAAGAAAGGAGGAAGCAGAGAGGCCCTGGAGAAGGACAGGAACACAGGAATTATCCAACGGTATCTGACTCTTCGTCCACTCAGTGCAGTCTCCTGACTCGGACAGAGACCAGTGTTAGCTGCTTCAGAGGCAGATCTAGAAACCTACCGTAGGCAATTCTAGGATAACCTGACTCCAGGGACACTTCCTGCTAATTGTCACAGTTTAGGAGAACTGCATTCCTCCTCTGTGGTCCAGCAAGGGCAACCACTTTTAGGCTCCTGGCTCCTCAACTGTCACCTTTCTTGGGCTGAGACCCACATCTCTCTCCATCTTGACTAGGGCTTTTCAGGCTGCACAGATCCCTGCCTACACTGTGAATTCCCCAGCAAGCCAGACTGTCTAAACCGGACAGCGTCTGCACTTTGCTTTCTCCTCAGAGGCTATAAACCAGGGGTGGGCAAACTTTTTGGCCTGAGGACCACATCTGGGTGGGGAAATAGCATGCAGGGCCATGAATGTAGGGCTGGGGTAGGGGGTTGGGGTGCGGGAGGGGCTGCGGTGTGCAGGAAGGGGCTGAGGGTAAGGGGTTGGGGCACAGGAGGGGTGCGGGGTGTACGAGGGGGCTCAGGGCAGGGGGTTGGGGTGCAGGAGGGGGTGCGGAGTGCGGGAGGGGGCTCAGGGCAAGGGGTTGGGGTGCAGGAGGGGTGTGGCAGGGGGCTCAGGGCAGGGTGTTGGGGTGCAGGAGGGGTTCAGGGTGTGGGCTCCAGCCCAGCGCTGCTTACCTTGAGTGGCTCCGGGGTGGCAGCGGCACGCAGCAGGGCTAAGGCAGGCTCCTTGCCTGCCCTGGTCCCGTGCTGCTCCCCTCCCAGAAGTGGCCGGCACTACATACCTGGGGGAGCGGGGGGCAGAGGGCTCCACGCGCTGCCCTCGCCTGCGGGTACCTCCCCCGAAGCTCCCATTGGCCGCGGTTCCCCATTCCTGGCCAATGTGAGCTGTGGGGGGCGGTGCCTGCAGGTGAGGGCAGCATGCAGAGCCCTCTCCCCCCCTCCACACCAAGGGCTGCAGGGATGTGGTGCTGGCTGCTTCCGGGAGCGGCGCAGGGCCAGGGCAGACAGGGAGCCTAACTTAGCCGAGCAGTGTCACGGCAGTGCCAATCCCGCAGGCCAGATTCAAAGCTCTGACAAGCTGGATTTGGCCCATGGTACGTAGTTTGCCCACCCCTGCTATAAACAGTGTAATTGACCGCAGTTATAAGTTACCACCCAGTTCTTTCTAAACAAGCAAATTTATTCTTAAAGTGAAAGCATTAGAGAGAAAACAAAATCCTTCCAACCCTTCTGTGACATTTTCTTAGGGTGTCCACTGTGTAGATCACTGTGCTACCCACCAATTTCAGCAAGAGAGAGACTTGCTGGTGTTAAACTATGTACCAGTTCACCACCCAGATAAATTCAGGACTTTGCCAGCCCTCACTTTGCCTTACACAACACTTTGTGTACCCCAGTCCCCAAACTCCTGAGAAGCGTCCCTCTGTAGTATCCAACCCCAGTCACTGGACACGTTCAGTAATTACCAGGTAAGTTGTCCCCAAAGAGACAGTGAACACACAGCTAGAAGGTTACAATTCAGAATCAGGTCCTTTAGAGCAACACAGCACTGTAATCAATTTATGGTGAAAACAAATATAAATTTATTCACAAAGAACAGATTCAAGTAAGTATTGAGTAAGAATAATGGAAACAGAAATAGTTATAAATAAAATAAGAGAATGACATGCTTTCTGGAGACTAAAACTTACCAAGTTACAACCTTGACTAAAGCATTTTCTCACCCACAAAGTCTTTCTACAGAGCTTGCTGGTTTTCAGTCAATCCAGGATCCATTCCTTCATCAATCATCCCACTCCTACAAGGGTGGTCCACAGTGAAATGGATAATAGGGTCTTGTCTTTGCACCCCCTGTTATAGTCCAGTAGACTTTTGAAAGGCATTCCTGTAGTTTGTTCTTCAGTGTGGTGGCGGCATCTTGAGTTCACATCCCCCCACAACCTGTTTTTCCTGTTGACTTTACATGAAAATGTAGCTTCCGTTCTTTTTGCACACAGTGCTTAATTTTAGGGCTGTCAATTAATCACAGTTAACTCAGAATAATGAATCACGATTAATTGCACTGTTAAATAATAGAATAACAGTTGAAATCTACTAAATATTTTGGATGTTCTTCTACATTTTTATATATATTGTATTCTGTTTTGTAATTGAAATCAAAGTGTATATTTTTTTATTACAAATATTTGCACTGTAAAAATGATAAACAAAAGAAATAGTAAAAAGAAAAGGAGTACTTGTGGCACCTTAGAGACTAACCAATTTATTTGAGCATGCGCTTTCGTGAGCTACAGCTCACGAAAGCGCATGCTCAAATAAATTGGTTAGTCTCTAAGGTGCCACAAGTACTCCTTTTCTTTTTGCGAATACAGACTAACACGGCTGTTACTCTGAAACCAGTAAAAAGAAAAGGAGTACTTGTGGCACCTTAGAGACTAACCAATTTATTTGAGCATAAGCTTTTGTGAGCTACAGCTCACTTCATTGGATGCATTCAGTGGAAAATACAGTGAGCAGATTTATATACACACAGAACATGAAAAAATGGGTGTTATCATACACACTGTAAGGAGAGTGATCACTTAAGATGAGCTATTACCAGCAGAAGAGCAGGGGGGTGAGGGAAAGAAAACCTTTTGTAGTGATAATCAAGGTGGGCCATTTCCAGCAGTTAACAAGAACATCTGAGGAACAGTGGAGGGGAATAAACATGGGGAAATTGTTTTACTTTGTGTAATGACTCATCCACTCCCAGTCTCTATTCAAGCCGGAGTTATTTGTATCCAGTTTGCAAATTAATTCCAATTCAGCAGTCTCTCGTTGGAGGCTGTTTTTGAAGTCTTTTTGTTGTAATATCGCGACTTTTAGGTCAGAGATCGAGTGACCAGAGAGATTGAAGTGTTCTCCGACTGGTTTATGAACGTTATAATTCTTGATATCTGATTTGTGTCCATTTTTTCTTTTACGTAGAGACTGTCCAGTTTGACCAATGTACATGGCAGAGGGGCATTGCTGGCACATGATGGCATATATCACATTGGTAGATGTGCAGGTGAACGAGCCTCTGATAGTGTGCCTGATGTGATTAGGCCCTATGATGGTGTCCCCTGAATAGACATGTGGACACAGTTGGCAACGGGCTTTGTTGCAAGGATAGGTTCCTGAGTTAGTGGTTCTGTGGTGTGGTGTGTGGTTGCACTGACTTCCTGAGGAAATGACAATCCATCGGTGATCTTCCTGAAAACACCATCCTGGCCACTATGGATGTAGAAGCCCTCTACACCAACATTCCACACAAAGATGGACTACGAGCCGTCGGGAACAGTATCCCCGATAATGTCACGGCAAACCTGGTGGCTGAACTTTGTGACTTTGTCCTCACCCATAACTATTTCACATTTGGGGACAATGTATGCCTTCAAATCAGCGGCACTGCTATGGGTACCCGCATGGCTCCACAGTATGCCAACATTTTTATGGCTGACTTAGAACAACGCTTCCTCAGCTCTCGTCCCCTAATGCCCCTACTCTACTTGCGCTATATTGATGACATCTTCATCATCTGGACCCATGGAAAAGAAGCCCTTGAGGAATTCCACCATGATTTCAACTATTTCCATCCCACCATCAACCTCAGCCTGGACCAGCCACACAAGAGATCCACTTCCTGGACACTACGGTGCTAATAAGCGATGGTCACATAAACACCACCCTATACCGGAAACCTACTGACTGCTATTCCTACCTACATGCCTCCAGCTTTCACCCAGACCACACCACACAATCCATTGTCTACAGCCAAGCTCTACGATACAGCCGCATTTGCTCCAATCCCTCAGACAGAGACAAACACCTACAAGATCTCTATCAAGCATTCTTACAACTACAATACCCACCTGCGGAAGTGAAGAAACAGATTGACAGAGCCAGAAGAGTACCCAGAAGTCACCTACTACAGGACAGGCCCAACCAAGAAAGTAACAGAACGCCACTAGCCATCACCCTCAGCCAACTAAAACCTCTCCAATGCATCATCAAGGATCTACAACCTATCCTGAAGGACGATCCCTCACTCTCACAGATCTTGGGAGACAGGCCAGTCCTTACAGACAGCCCCCCAACCTGAAGCAAATACTCACGAGCAACCAAACACCACACAACAAAAACACTAACCGAGGAACCTATCCTTGCAACAAAGCCCGTTGCCAACTCTGTCCACATATCTATTCAGGGGACACCATCATAGGACCTAATCACATCAGCCACACCATCAGAGGCTGTTTCACCTGCACATCTACCAATGTGATATATGCCATCATGTGCCAGCAATGCCCCTCTGCCATGTACATTGGCCAAACCAGACAGTCTCTACGCAAAAGAATAAATGGACACAAATCAGATATCAAGAATTATAACGTTCAAAAACCAGTCGGAGAACACTTCAACCTCCCTGGTCACTCAATTACAGACCTAAAAGTTGCAATCCTTAAAAAAAAACAAAACAAACAAACAAAAAACTTCAAAAACAGACTCCAACGAGAAACTGCAAATCTGGAATTAATTTGGAAACTGGACACCATTAATTTAGGCTTGAATAAAGACTGGGAGTGGATGGATCATTACACAAAGTAAAAACTATTTCCCCATGCTAATTTTTCCCCTACTGTTACTCATACCTTCTTGTCAACTGTTTGAAGTGGGCCATCCTGATTATCACTACAAAAGTTTTTCTTTCTCCTGCTGATAATAGTCCACCTTAATTGATTAGTATCATTAGAGTTGGTATGGCAACACCCATTTTTTCATGTTCTCTGTGTGTGTGTGTGTATATATATATATATATATATATATCTTCCTACTGTATTTTCCACTGCAGGCATCTGATGAAGTGGGCTTTAGCCCACAAAAGCTTATGCCCTAATAAATTTGTTAGTCTCTAAGGTGCCACAAGTACTCCTCATTCTTTTTACTGATACAGACTAACACGGCTACCACTCTGAAACATAGTGCACTTAGTAGTTCTACAATTTCTTATTTGAGTTCTTTCACAACTCTTGGGTGAATACCATCTGTTCCTGGTGATTTATTACTGTTTAACTTTCAGTTTGTTCCAAAACCTCCTCTTTTGACACCTCCATCTAGGATGGTTCCTCAGATTTGTCACCTAAAAAGAATGGCTCAAGTGTGGGAACCTCCCTCTCATCCTCTGCCGTGAAGACTGATGCAAAGAATTCATGTAGCTTTTCTGCAAAGGCCTTATCTTCCTTGAGTGCTCCTTTACCACCTCAATCGTCTAGTGGCCCCACTGACTGTTTGACCGGCTTCCTGCTTCTGATGTACTTAACAGAAGTCATGTCATTCATGGTGTCTAGAAACTTTACCTCTGTATCCTGTCTTGAGGTGACATAGTCAGTATACCTTTTCAGTCTCTCTGCATATGTGAATTCTTTCCATACCCCCAACCATTCTTGTTGCCTGTCTGTGAACCCCATTCTGCTATCTCTGTTCTCAGATGGGGTGACCAGAACTAGCATCCCAGAGGAAGATATACTCTTGGTTTATAGAACTGTGGTGTTATATTTTCTGTGTGAATGTTCGCTCACTTTGTAGCTAGTGTGAGCTGAGCACATTGCACATCCCAGAAGCTCCTTGCTTTCCTCCATTCACCCCACAAGCTCCTGTGTGCCAACCTCCCATCTCATCCCTTCTATTATAGACGTTACATGCAACTCCCCCTAATTACCCGCCTGCCAAGAGTTCTGTGTGCCCCATATTTCACACTCATCCCATGTCAGAGGTTTGTTGCTCCCCATTCCTTTCTTCAACAGTTCCACATTCTTCCTTGTTAGGGGGCTTATTCCTTCACCCACTTACTTCCCTGGTCCTTCTCGCATGAACAGAGAGCAACAATACCCGAAGTCCAAAGGTGCAAACAATTCGATGTTTATTGGGGTGAACTTCCAGCAAGCATGATTCCAGTTTCCTTCCTTAGTATCCTCCTTCCCAGCTCTGACACCACAGAGCCTTACACCTGTGTCCCTGTTCCCATTCCTGCCCTTAGCCAAACATGATTCCAACTTCCTTACTCCCATTCCCTGTTCCCATTTCCCCCTTTAGCAAAACATGATTCCAACTTCCTTACTCCCATTCCCTGTTCCCATTTCCCCCTTTAGCAAAACATGATTCCAATTTTCTTACCCCCATTCCCTGTTCCCATCTCACACACCCACATGCCCACCCCCACCCACACCCCGTCACTTCCTCATTGACTACAGATTATATAGTAAAACTTGAGTTCTGCTTAGCTATACCTTAACCAATCATTTTCCTGAAATTTAACTAACCAATCCTAACATATTGTAACATGATTATGTAACCAATTATATCCCACCACCTCAATTAGTTTACACCCAGCAAAATTAATTATACAGCAGACAGGAACAATCACAGAACCAGACAGAGATTATACAGACAAACAACAGCAAAGTGGGAACTATAATGACAAAACAATACAGAAGTGAGGATTTCACATCCCAGCTATTGATAAGTGAGTTCTTGCCAGACAGGATGCTATCAAACTAAGTTTCCTTTTACATTTTCTAGGCACTTCCCTTCCTCTGGAGGTGATAGGAATACAATCCTGTCCTGATAGTGCCTAACAGCCCAATAGCACCTTATTTCAATGTGACTAGTTTGGAATGTGAGGATGTGACCGTTCGCTTCCCAGCTTATGGCTGCCTCTGCTGCTTAGCCAAAGGCCTGAGCCTAAGCACAGGGCCACAAACTGTCACAGTAAGAGAAGGCCCTTACACTGGCAGATAGTGGTTTTGATTCTTTCTTTCTTTTATACCTCTATCACTAGCCAAGTGATAAGAATACACCTAAATTCTTAGAGTATAGGCCTTTACAGACAGGCCTGAATATCTATATCCTAACATTCCTCATGCCAGATGCCCTGTGTTCACTCTCATTCCCTCCATGTCCTCCATTTCTTCCTTGCCTGCCCATGGCAGGCACTCTGTGTTTTCCCCTTTCCCCCATACCAGGGTTCCCCAGTCTCCCTCTCTACCAGAGATTCTGTCTTCTCCCATTCCCCCTCCTCCATATGAGGATCCCCCATTCTCTCCCCCATGCCAGGGGCTGTGTGTGCACGCTCCCAGTCCCCTCACATCTCCTTCCTCACCAACACTGTTATTTGCCTGGGAGATAAAATTGTCGGTGTATCAACATGTTGAATTGTACTGGGAGGGTGAGTAAGGATATTGGTGTTAGTGCGTACCATCAACTAGTTGTTTGATAGCCAATTGAAGCTGTGGCTGTGCTAAACAGATGTCAAGGGCTTGGTGTGTTCCTCCATTTTTCCCCTTATAGTTTTCCCTCAAATCAGTAGGGTTCTGGTCATTGACTCCTAAAACGTTCCCTGGAATTTTGAGCCGATTCATCGTTCAAAAGTTATTGTGTTCTAGGCAGAAAGACACAGAAATGCCGTTGAGTTTACAACCTTTGCAAGCTTGCCAGTCATTCTCTGTCCCATTCCTTCTGCATCCCAACATGTTGTTTGATTTTTGATTGCAGTTGCACATTGAGCAGAATGGATGCAGTTAATTTAGAACCCCGCAAGGTATATGAATAGTTTAAAATTATTCCTTCCCAAGAGCATTTCTTTGCACTTATCAATACTGAATTTTATATGTTGTCCTGTTGTCCAGTCCCCTAGCTGGGTTAGGTCTCAGGACTGGAGAAAACTCTGAGGAACTGCAGACTTGCCTAAATAATTTTGTCATCTGCCAATGTCACCACCTCCCTACTCCCCTCCCTTTGTAGATTAGTAAACATCCCTCTTAGCACCGTACCTTGGTACTCCAGATGTTAACCTTTTCACCATGATGAAAACTGACCACTGAAACTCTTTGTTTCCTAGCCAGTTTCTGAGCCTTGGACAGCACTTTTCATCCAATGATGATTTCTTTTCTTTAGGCTTGGTTGCAATATCATTCTCTCTTCCTCTTTTCTGTCACACTGATGTACCCCCTACACACCCACCGTACCTTGCACACCCCACTGTTTTCTATCCACATGAATATGCATCCAGTTCCCCACACTAGTCACACAAGACCTCCACTCCCCCACACTTAGATCTGGGAATGGGTTCCAGCTGAGCCTGGCTTCCCAGTGTTACCCCTAACACTGGGGATACCATCAGCTAAGTGCTAGTTCTTACCTGTTTGCTCTTGTTCTCACTGTTCCTTCCCCCTGAACTGGCTCTCTCGTTCTCTCCGAGCAGGTGTTCGACAGCAGGCCTGTGCTCAGTATCTGCCTGAAGGTAAGTGAGAACTCAAGATTGCAGAGAATGGCAGCCTGATTGTGGTCTTTCAGGAATTGTTCCCTCAGTGGGGTGGGGAGCGGTTACAGAGTTCCTCTTCTCTATTAGGTCAGGCAGCAGATCTGCCTCTATCTCATGCCCAAGTGCACCGGCTCTTGGACTCTGCCCTCATTTGTGCCCAGAATGCCTAACAGCGTGACTCCATTGGAGCTCCACTGCTGGTACTTCCCCAGCCTCTGCTGCCTATGGAATCCTACACATAACACAACAAGTACAGTGAGGGCTCACAGAACAGCTGCAGGCAGCTTTCACACTGAGCCCAGAAGGCAGCAGTGTGTTCCCCTACATGGCCCTCCCCTTTCCAGGACCTCACAGACTGGCTGCTTCATTGCTGTGTACTTACTATTATTGTTTCATTTTATATTCCTAGTGATATGGTATAGTCCCTGTGCATGCCAGGAACTTTAATCACTAGCAAAAGGAAATGTCCCTGCCTCTAAAGCTACCAGACTTGTTTGCAATTGGATTCCAGTGAGACTCCTCATAGGATATGGAGATCCAAATCTAGCCCTTAAGCAGGAGAGATCTGTGATGGACCTTTAGAAGAGAATGCCCTAAAAGAGAGGAGGAACCTTTCCCTGTTTACCTGAACTCCTTGCTAAGGTGGAATTGCCCTTGGCTCATTCAAAGAAGAATTTAGAGTTTGGTTGATGGAATAGCCAAATGCAATAAGAAAAAGTGTGTGATGTGTTTACTTATCATCCTTCTGCATTCACAGTATGGCCGCCTCTTTGTGGAAGCCTTCTTGAAGCTTGCCATGCCTCTGTTGGATTACAGCTTTAAAAAGCACAGGGTAAGAATTTCAGAGGCACAGAGACTTGCCTGAAATCCATTTGGAAGCTGAAGTAAGAGCAGAATGCAGCTGCTGGCTTCTTGAGTGTATTGCAGGAGTCCAATCTTGAGAGGACAAAAGCATGGATCACATTTACATAGTCTACATCCAAAAATAATGGTTGCAGCCTCCTAGCCAATGCAGACTTGAGAAAAGCCATCTTCATCACTTCAGCTGTGCGGTCATCTAAACATAACTGGGATTAAAGCAAGCCTCTCATTTGTGAACTTTGGTTACAAGTGATGGATAAATACACTCAATAGGCAGGTTTGAGATTACTTATGTCATGTCCTCCAGCCCACCAGATCAAACAGCGGGCTAGAAGACATGCATGCAAGCTGGTGAGTAGCCAGTGAAATGAACAGGGTAGCAGAGCGCTGTTGGTAGGTCAGTAGGTGGCAGTCTGTGCCAGGTGGAGTTTTTCAGTGCCTGATTTCATTCTCAGGTACCAAGCACTACAATATTAGAAGCTGGATGTCACAAATCTCATGGTATGGATCTCTGTCTCTTGGCCTATGTCTGCTAGAGTGGAGAGTAATCATAGAATCATAGAATATCAGGGTTGGAAGGGACCTCAGGAGGTCATCTAGTCCAACCTCCTGCTCAAAGCAGGGCCAATCCCCAACTAAATCATCCCAGCCAGGGCTTTGTCAAGCCTGACCTTAAAAATATCTAAGGAAGGAGATTCCACCACCTCCCTACGTAAAGCATTCCAGTGTTTCACCACCCTCCTAGTGAAAAAGTTTTTCCTAATATCTAACCTAAACCTCCCCCACTGCAACTTGAGACCATTACTCCTTGTTCTGTCATCTGCTACCACTGAGAACAGTGTAGATCCATCCTCTTTGGAACCCCCTTTCAGGTAGTTGAAAGCAGCTATCAAATCCTGCCTCATTCTTCTCTTCCGCAGACTAAACAATCCTAGTTCCCTCAGCCTCTCCTCATAAGTCATGTGTTCCAGTCCCCTAATCATTTTTGTTGCCCTCTGCTGGACTCTTTCCAATTTTTCCACATCCTTCTTGTAGTGTGGGGCCCAAAACTGGACACAGTACTCCAGATGAGGCCTCACCAATGTCGAATAGAGGGGAACGATCGCGTCCCTCAATCTGCTGGCAATGCCCCTACATATACATTCCAAAATGCCATTGGCCTTCTTGGCAATAACAGCACACTGTTGACGCACATCCAGTTTCTCATCCACTGTAACCCCTAGGTCCTTTTCTGCCCAACTGCTGCCAAGCCACTCAATCCCTAGTCTGTAGCGGTGCATGGGATTCTTCCGTCCTAAGTGCGGGACTCTGCACTTGTCCTTGTTGAACCTCATCAGATTTCTTTTTGGCTCAATCCTCTAATTTGTCTAGGGCCCTCTGTATCCTATCCTACCCTCCAGCGTTTCTACCTCTCTTCCCAGTTTAGTGTCATCTGCATAACTTGCTGAGGGTGCAATCCACACCATCCTCCAGATCATTTATGAAGATATTGAAGAAAACCGGCCCTAGGACTGACCCTTGGGGCACTCTACTTGATACCGGCTGCCAACTAGACATGGAGCCATTGATCACTACCCGTTGAGCCCGACAATCTAGCCAACTTTCTATCCACCTTATTAGTCCATTCATCCAGCCCATACTTCTTTAACTTGCTGGCAAGAATACTGTGGGAGACCATGTCAAAAGCTTTGCTGAAGTCAAGGAACAACAAGTCAACCACTTTCTCCTGATCCACAGAGCCAGTTATCTTGTCATAGAAGGCAATTGGATTAGTCAGGCATGACTTGCCCTTGGTGAATCCATGCTGACTGTTCCTGATCACTTTCCTCTCCTCTAAGTGCTTCAGAATTGATTCCTTGAGGACCTGCTCCATGATTTTTCCAGGGACTGAGGTGAGGCTGACTGGCCTGTAGTTCCTAGGATCCTCCTCCTTCTCTTTTTTAAAGATGGGCACTACATCAGCCTTTTTCCAGTCGTCCAGGACTTCCCCCGATGGCCATGAGTTTTCAAAGATAATGGCCAATGGCTCTGCAATCACATCTGCCAACTCCTTTAGCACTCTCGGATGCAGCACATCCGGCCCCAAGGACTTGTGCTCGTCCAGCTTTTCTAAATAGTCCCGAACCACTTCTTCCTCCACAGAGGGCTGGTCACCTCCTCCCCATGCTGTGCTGCCCAGTGCAGCAGTCTGGGAGCTGACCTTGTTCGTGAAGACAGAGGCAAAAAAAGCATTGAGTACATTAGCTTTTTCCACATCCTCTGTCACTAGGTTGCCTCCCTCATTCAGTAAGGGGCCCACGCTTTCCTTGACTTTCTTCTTGTTGCTAACGTACCTGAAGAAACCCTTCTTGTTACTCTTAACATCTCCAGGCCAGGCCTTTTTTCACACACACAGAATCCTCTGGCTGGAAACTGATTGCTGGGACACCACATGCGCAGAGTACGGGAACAGCTGGAGCTTGTTGTTTTGGTGCCAAAACACTGGCTAATAGTGGAGCCACAACTGCACTTCCTCAATCAGCCCTGGCTGGCTCTTTCTCTACCACATCAAACAGCACCACTAAGCAGCTCTGCTGTGGAAGATCATTAGGCCGCTGGCCTTAGGGTGCTGGCAGCAGTCCTCCTACCTGCTGCTGCTCCTCTCTCTTGCCTCCATCCCCAGACTCTGACCGTGAGGTTTAGTGGTGTGGCTGATGCCCTAAAACCATTGGGTCATACCCAGTGTGGCAGAGGGTTGGCCACCCCTTGCTGGAGATTCTTGCTGCACTAGGAGGGTGCCTCAGAGTAGTTGAGAGTTTGGCTGAAAATGACTTGTTCACATATTGTGGTCTGCAACATGACTGTCTGGCCCACTGGAAAAAGTATGTTGACAGTTCCATAAAAAGAAAGGGAGTACTTGTGGCACCTTAGAGACTAACCAATTTATCTGAGCATAAGCTTTCGTGAGCTACAGCTCACTTCATCGAATGCATACTGTGGAAACTGCAGAAGACATTATATACACAGAGACCATGAAACAATACCTCCTCCCACCCTGTCTTCTGCGGTTTCCACAGTATGCATCCGATGAAGTGAGCTGTAGCTCACGAAAGCTTATGCTCAAATAAATTGGTTGGTCTCTAAGGTGCCACAAGTACTCCTTTTCTTTTTGCGAATACAGACTAACACGGCTGTTACTCTGAGACAGTTCCATAGTTGCCTAGAATTTGAGGCTTTCAAGGTATCATGACTGGGACTGAGATGCAGCCCAAATGCATATAAAAATCATTTGGGCGCCAAAACATTGATGTTTCCAGGGGCTTCTGTGACCACGCTGAATGTGGTGTCTGACCTGCCAGTCTCTGAGCAGTCTTTGGAAGGAGGGAGCATGTTTGTGATAAGTGCTAACAAACCAAACTCATCTGACATCAGCCTGAATGTGCCCGATTAAACGCTTCTCCTGGAGTGTCCTTCCCAGGCTGCAGAGAACTAGGTAGCTCTGCCCCCTTGCTTCTGGAGGCAGGAGCGTGCTTTCTCTTGCTCTCTCCTGGGCTGCCATCTCTGAGACCCCCCCACCCCTTTGAAGAGCTCAAGTCTCAGAGCACTTGGACAGTGTGAGTGTGCTCAAATGCCAGCTTTGAAGATCTTTAGGCACAGTCCTCACTAGAGTCTCTAGACAGGCCCCAAATTGCTGCTTGTGGCCACACAAACTTTTGAAGATGTTGGTCTCCGTCTCTCAGCTTGGTGGGGGCATTACAGACCACATGTTGTTGCTGCCTGGGCTGCAATATGGGGCTGGCTGCTCTATGACTGCTATCACATTTCAGCCAGTGGGTAAAGCTGCTTGTGAAAAGTTGATTTCCCCGGCCCCAAAGCACTTTGACCCTATAGGTGCAGGGTTCTGTGCTAGAGAATAGAGAACAGATTCAGTTCAAAATGTCTGGCTTGACTTGGCTGTTTTGCAGAGCTGTGGAACAGAGTGGTGTCCATGATACATGTCTGGTGAGCACATTCTCTTGTTGGTTATGAGACTATGCAGAGTTCAGCTCCCTTATGGCTGCCATGTCTTAACTTGTTGGGTATTTTCTGTGGAGTGGGCAGAGCGTATGTCTTTATATCTCTGTAGCACTGGTAGGATGAATAGGAGAGCTGATAGTCTTGCTTCCAAGTTATCCTTTGTGATGGGTAGCAAATTCTTATGGATTTGAAAATACAGTACCAGTGACCCAGGTGGTCCTTTTTATTACAGGAAGACGTGCAGAGTTTGCTGAAAACTTTGCAGCTGAGCACCAGACAACTTCATCACATGTGTGGCCATTCAAAGGTAAGGGAGACTCTAGACTCTGCACTAGCTTTTGTATTCACAAGGCCTTACTAATCTATGTTGATTTCTCTGTGTGTCTGTCTGTCACCACTGCACCCTCACATGGTGTCTCCAGGGGTCCCACACAGGACTCCTCTTCACAAGAATGTGACCAGTATAAAGCTCCTGTCATGGTTGAAGTGTCCTGACAGCAAAGCTGCTCTGGGTTTAATAAGCACAGACGGACGCCTGCAAATTGTTCTGCGCTCCCTTGCCAGCTGTCCCAGGGGATATGCTTCCCAGGTTTACTCATCTGCTTGGCCTCCTCTGTTGTCCAGGCCCATTAGTCTGGGAGAGTATGTAATTCCGTGGGCAAGTTAATGATATAAATGTAAGGGAGGGTCATTTGATTTATAAAAATCTACAGAATCATAAATTCAACGGTCTCATCCTCTGTGGCCTGGCAAGGGGGACTCACTCCCCACAACAGTCCTCCCCAGCTCCAGGTCCTCCAGTTGGTAGAAATATTGCTGATACGATGTCGTCAGAAATGGGTGGAGTTGGGTATCACTCAAAAGCCCTTTCTCCCACAAACACAATAGTACCAAACATGACAAATGTAGAACAAGGCCTTTTATGATATATAAAGGGAAGAAGGAGGATCCTGGGAACTACAGGCCAGTCAGCCTCACCTCAGTCCCTGGAAAAATCATGGAGCAGGTCCTCAAAGAATCAATCCTGAAGCACTTGCATGAGAGGAAAGTGATCAGGAACAGCCAGCATGGATTCACCAAGGGAAGGTCATGCCTGACTAATCTAATCGCCTTTTATGATGAGATTACTGGTTCTGTGGATGAAGGGAAAGCAGTGGATGTATTGTTTCTTGACTTTAGCAAAGCTTTTGACACGGTCTCCCACAGTATTCTTGTCAGCAAGTTAAGGAAGTATGGGCTGGAAGAATGCACTATAAGGTGGGTAGAAAGCTGGCTAGATTGTCGGGCTCAACGGGTAGTTATCAATGGCTCCATGTCTAGTTGGCAGCTGGTATCAAGTGGAGTACCCCAAGGGTCGGTCCTGGGGCTGGTTTTGTTCAATATCTTCATAAATGATCTGGAGGATGGTGTGGATTGCACTCTCAGCAAATTTGCGGATGATACTAAACTGGGAGGAGTGGTAGATACGCTGGAGGGGAGGGATAGGATACAGAAGGACCTAGACAAATTGGAGGATTGGGCCAAAAGAAATCTGATGAGGTTCAATAAGGATAAGTGCAGGGTCCTGCACTTAGGACGGAAGAACCCAATGCACAGCTACAGACTAGGGACCGAATGGCTAGGCAGCAGTTCTGCGGAAAAGGACCTAGGGGTGACAGTGGATGAGAAGCTGGATCTGAGTCAGCAGTGTGCCCTTGTTGCCAAGAAGGCCAATGGCATTTTGGGATGTATAAGTAGGGGCATAGCCAGCAGATCGAGGGACGTGATCGTTCCCCTCTATTCGACATTGGTGAGGCCTCATCTGGAGTACTGTGTCCAGTTTTGGGCCCCACACTTCAAGAAGGATGTGGATAAATTGGAGAGAGTTCAGCGAAGGGCAACAAAAACGATTAGGGGTCTGGAACACATGAGTTATGAGGAGAGGCTGAGGGAGCTGGGATTGTTTAGCCTGCAGAAGAGAAGAATGAGGGGGGATTTGATAGCTGCTTTCAACTACCTGAAAGGGGGTTCCAAAGAGGATGGCTCTAGACTGTTCTCAATGGTAGCAGATGACAGAACGAGGAGTAATGGTCTCAAGCTGCAGTGGGGGAGGTTTAGATTGGATATTAGGAAAAACTTTTTCACTAAGAGGGTGGTGAAACACTGGAATGCGTTACCTAGGGAGGTGGTAGAATCTCCTTCCTTAGAGGTTTTTAAGGTCAGGCTTGACAAAGCCCTGGCTGGGATGATTTAACTGGGAATTGGTCCTGCTTCGAGCAGGGGGGTTGGACTAGATGACCTTCTGGGGTCCCTTCCAACCCTTATATTCTATGATGATTCATGATTCTATGATATGCAAGAAAAAAGTTTAAAAATCAGCGGTTGTTTAATTATACTTTAACACAGGGATGCGTGGCTTACATAAAAAAGACACTGCTCTTTGGTAATTCTAGGGAAGTTAGACTTGGCATTTAGGACTGAAAACATTTATTCATCAAAGTCGTCATCTGTGTTGTCTCCGTCTAGGGCACCACTGCTAGACACAGTCTCACACTGATCCTTGTCGGTGCCGCATTCGCACATCTCGGTACATGGCAGGCTGCTGGCCAAACATTTTCAGGGTGATGAGCATCTGGTCTTTGCACACGAGCATTTGATTAGCTGAAGGATTGATTCGGGAGCACATAGTATTTCACACACAAGTGTGATCAATCCATCCTCCAAGACCCATCCATTCCTGACAAGGAAGGGTAGTTTTGGATGCACTCAATCATCCTGGAGCCATTTCACTGCTTGATAATTTGCCCTCTTGGTAGCAGGTATAAATGCACCCCTTGTTGGTGGTAATTTTTCTCCTGTTGTCTGCTTCTTGGCAAACATCCACCAACATAGCTCCGCAAGTGTCATAATGTTGATTTTCAAATGATAAACTCAGCATATCAACGCCTCCAGTGCATTTATGATCGCGTCAGTTACTGCTTCATCCATTCTGAGCACCCTCAGAGTGAGGAGAGAGAGTCTATGGAGGCTGAATCCAATGTCTTCCAATATGATAATTTGGCATTTCCAACCAACCTTCCAGTGGTGTCACACCCTGAAAGGGTTTGGAAACCTGGCAGTGCAGTGGCATTTAATGGTCTGAGTGATTGAAAAATGTTTCTGACAGCACCTGAGCCTGGGACTGCTCCCCATTAATACACTCCTGATAGCAAACCATCACAGCAGCATGAAGAGTACCTTTGCTATCTCCTGTACCTTCAAGGAAGTCTAAGTTATCCACAGCACAAAATATACACCTACCCTTGATGAGGTTTAGGGGAACGTTCATTCGGTTCCAAGAGGTAAAGAACTCTGTTTGCAGTTGCAGTCTCCAGGCAGAGAACTTTGTAGTAGTCAGTGGAGCAGTCAAAAGCTGCTGTGCAAAAGCTGCTTGAGGAATTTGCTGGATGTTTTGGAATGAATTATTAAACCGACAGCCACTTGAAATGGTAGATTATGCATATGCCTCATGGTTGTCGTGTATGTGTTGGAAAGCTGTTTCACTCAAGCACTCATACATGAGGCTTTGCAGTAAAATAGCAGCCTTGTGCTCTGCTTGCTTACTGTCATACTTGCTGCTGCTGAAATCACTGCAACCACCAAAGCACCACTTAAAGTAGTAAAAAGAAAAGGAGTACTTGTGGCACCTTAGAGACTAACCAATTTATTTGAGCATAAGCTTTCATGAGCTACAGCTCGCTTCATCGGATGCATACTGTGGAAAGTGTAGAAGATCTTTTTATATACACACAAAGCATGAAAAAATACCTCCTCCCACCCCACTCTCCTGCTGGTAATAGCTTATCTAAAGTGATCACTCTCCTTACAATGTGTATGATAATCAAGTTGGGCCATTTCCAGCACAAATCCAGGTTTTCTCACCCACGCCCCCACACACACACACAAACCAACCCACTCTCCTGCTGGTAATAGCTTATCTAAAGTGACCACTCTCCTTACAATGTGTATGATAATCAAGGTGGGCCATTTCCAGCACAAATCCAGGGTTTAACAAGAACGTCTGGGGGGGGGGGGGTAGGAAAAATCAAGGGGAAATAGGTTACCTTGCATAATGACTTAGCCACTCCCAGTGTCTATTCAAACCTAAGTTAATTGTATCCAATTTGCAAATGAATTCCAATTCAACAGTTTCTCGCTGGAGTCTGGATTTGAAGTTTTTTTGTTGTAAGGTTTTTTTTTGGTGGGAGGAGGTATTTTTTCATGCTTTGTGTGTATATAAAAAGATCTTCTACACTTTCCACAGTATGCATCCGATGAAGCGAGCTGTAGCTCAGAAAAGCTTATGCTCAAATAAATTGGTTAGTCTCTAAGGTGCCACAAGTACTCCTTTTCTTTTTGCGAATACAGACTAACACGGCTGTTACTCTGAAACTTAAAGTAGTAGTAGTACATGTCACACAGTGTTATTTTTTTCAGGTTTGGCATCAGCTATGGATCCCTGAAATGTCCAGGTACTGGACAAAATGCTTTTCTGTGAAAATTTTGCAGCTACAAACAGTGTCTTCATATTACAGTTAAGATTAGTGCTTTCTTCCACTTTTGATCGTGCCACTTCTTTTGCAGCTTTTAAGGATATGCTCTGTGATTCATTTCAGTGGATAGGATTGCTAAAAACTATGTCCATATCCTGCGGTTCATCTTCAGTAAGTGCTTTAAGAGCCTTTCTGCTAAGCATTTGCTCCTCTTCAGTCCCATTCAAAGTATATATTTCTCTGCTCATAGCCTCTGCTTCAGACATCACCACCACTTTCCCATCCAGAAGAGCCTCTGTGAAGCAATGTATGAACTCCAGCTGAGTCTCAGTTTGCAGTAGTACAATCAATATTTGGTTCTGTTGTGTTTACCTTTTGACACAACATATTACATGCATTCTTGGTGTAGCACTCAATCTGATAACCAGTGTTATCAATGTTCTCTCTAAGAGTGACTGCTTCATATAGTTTCATACCTCTCTCAAGTGTTGAAACTGTGCTTAAGGGGATGACTTCCAGCTTACTGAAGAAGAAGCAGGTGTTCTTCTCGAAATGCATGCCACAGCTGGCACTTGTCCCAGCACCTTCAACTTTTTTCTGATGGTCAATGTGCTTCATCACCAACCTTCCAAATTCATTTTATGGGCCCACTTCTTATAGCATGTAAGGTGCCACCAAATGTGTTTAGCCCGGTCCACCCATGGTGGTATTCTCCAAAGATTCAGCTGCTAGTTGGTAGTCTTTGTCTCCCCATTGATGCCTAAAAATGATTAAGACCAAAGTAAAAACAAGGATTTTGTAATAAATTAGTTTAGGGTGTAATTAATTATGTTATGTAATGTATGTTATGTAGCTGTGTGCGTACTGTTTGGGGATGGATTCCAGTAATTTCTGGCCTGATACTGATGTCTTACCCCGTGCCTTGGTACCACTCTTGGCATAATAAACAAAGCTGATAATCAATATCACTGAACCGCTTTTTTGCTGATGATGGCAAATCAGCTTGAAGCACTCCTTCCATTGATAGTCATCTGTAACATTAAAAAAAACGAATCAGGTGTCCTGTTTTGAGCATTAACTGATAACACAGACTGGCAGTCAAGGGACACAGCTTATCTTGTGAGGGCTGCATGTTTGGCATGCCTGTGTTCAACTATGCTTTCATAAAATGTTGATTTTTTTTAAACATTTTCTCCAATATCTATCTATGGAATTGTTCTAGGTTTGTCATGTTTAGTACCATTGTGCTCGTGGGAGAAGGGGCTTTCAATGATACCAACTCGACCCATTCCCAACAACATTGTATTATCAAAATTTCAACGAACTTGAGGACCTGGAACTGGGAGCCAGGTGGATGGGGCAGCAAGTTCCCCCTGCCATGCCACAGAGGATGGCACTATTGAAATTATGATTCTGTAGATTTTTATGAATCAAATGACACTTCCCTTACCTTTCTATCACTATCTTGCCTTGGAAAGAGATTTTAGTATATTAAGCTTGCAGACTATATTGCCTGCCACCATGAGGTTTTGCACTGGGATTCCAGGACCTAGGCTAGCTGCTTCTCCCATTCCTTCTCCCTGTAGGTTTATTCATTATGCACAGCCTCCTAGGTATCCTCCAAGCTGCTGATTGTGGCAGCAGCCACCCTCAAGCATTGAAAGATCCAGATCGCTCCCTAACTCAGCTATTGATCAGCTGCACATCAGCAGCGCAAGAATGTGATGGGCTGGATCACAGAAACCCCCTTGGGGCTGCCAACTGATGTGCCAAGACTACTTCTGCCCCTGCTTTCCTGCCCTGCCAGCTTGGGACTTCAGTGCCCTGCCTGGTTTGAGCCAGACCCGCTAGCCTGCTGCAAACCCAGACCCAGGTCTGAACCACGTCCCCTAACAGCTGTAGGCTTAATTGAAAGCAGCTTAAGAAGTGTTCCTGTCTTTAACACTCAGATGCCCAACTCCCAATGGGGTCCAAACCCCAAATAAATCCGTTTTACCCTGTATAAAGCTTATACAGGACAAACTCATAAATTGTTAGCCCTCTATAACACTGATAGAGAGATATGCACAGCTGTTTGACCCCCAGCCCCCAGGTATTAATACGTACTCTGGGTTAATAAGTAAAAAGTGATTTTATTAAATACAGAAAGTAGGATTTAAGTGGTTCCAAGTAGTAACAGACAGAACAAAGTGAATTACCAAGTAAAATAAAATAAAACCCCCAAGTCTATGCCTAATACAGTAAGAAAACTGAATACAGAAAAAAACTTCACCCTCAGAGGTTTTCCCGTAAGCTTCCTTTTACAGACTAGTCTTCTAGTCTGGGTCCAGCAATCACTCACCCCCCCTGTAGTTACTGTCCTTTGTTCCAGTTTCTTTCAGGTATCCTTGGGGGTGGAGAGGCTATCTCTTGAGCCAGCTGAAGAAAAAATGGAGGGGTCTCCCAGAGGTTTAAGTAGACTTTCTCTTGCGGGTGGATACCCCTCCCTTTCCCTCTGTAGAATTCCAGCTACAAGATGGAGTTTTGGAGTCACATGGGCAAGTCACATGTCCATGCATGACTCAGAACTTACAGATAGCAGCCATGGTTCACACGCTACCTGGAACATCCTCATGTAGACTTCTTACGTGGATTGCAACCTTCCAAGATCCATTGTCCATTAAGTGCTTCTTGACTGGGCACTTAACTTGCAAATTACTTTCTAAAGAAGCTGACCAAATGCCTTACTAAGGCTATTTAAAATCAAACAAGTATACAGCCAATATTCATAACTTCGAATACAACGACACATGCGTACAAATAGAATGAATATATTCAGTAGATCATAACCTTTACATAGCTTTGTTACATGGCATATGTAGCATAAAACATATTCCAGTTATGTTATATATATATATACATACATACACACACACATTCATAAGCATGTTTCCATAAAGCCTTATGGGGTGCAGAGTGCCGGACCCATCACAGCAACTGGCACATCTGGGGCTTCCTTTAGTAGGGAGGAAGCGATTGTGCTCCCCACAAAGCGTCATCTGTCAAAGGCTAAAGACATGAGGAGGACTACGCTCAAAGGTCCTGCAGCCACTGGGAATTCTGGCTTCCATTGTAGGACCCTGGGCATAGCAACATGCTTGACCTCTATTCTCTCCCTGCTCTCTCAACGGAGCTTGCAGGAAGGTGACTACAAGAACAGGATTGGTTTGGATGTAGCCTGCATGTTTCCCTGAGATGGTGGAATACCCCTCACTCCCTCCCCGATGGAGAGGAGAGCCCCTAGAGATCCCAGCACATGGTTATCTCTGTAGATACTAGCAGAAAAGTATGAGGAGCAGCCTTCCTGTCTCATTTGGGCCAGGGATTGTAGACAGGGTTGACAGAAATCATTATAAGAAAAGGAGTACTTGTGGCACCTTAGAGACTAATACATTTGTTAGTCTCTAAGGTGCCACAAGTACTCCGTTTCTTTTTGCGAATACAGACTAACACGGCTGCTACTCTGAAACCAGAAATCATTATGTCAGCTCTACCCTACATTAACAAGAGGAGACACAAGAAGCAGCTCTCCAGCCAAGGAGACAAAAAAAAACTGTTCCTCTGGGCAGAATCTGACCTGCTTGCTACTTGGCATCTTGCTTAGGAGACAGGCTAGCTCAACCAGCAGGATCCTCCTGCAGGGAATGCTTCCACTTTGAGCAAGTAATTCACCTGATTTGTTCAGCGGGAGGCATCCCAGCCCTCTGTTCATTGCAGAGCTTGGCTCTCAGCTGAATCAATTCTGCAGCTATCACAGAGAGATCAAGGTAGGGCAGAGGACGTTTTTCCCACCTATAGCTGTCCCTTGTTCTCGAGTGGGGAGGGAGGCCACTCCACCTCACTACACATCAAATAGACCAATCCATGTCTTGACTTTGACCCCATGCTGCCATGCAAAGTTCCTCTGCCTATCCCAGTGCTGGCAGAGGAGCAGAGAAGGTTCAATTGCCTCAGACTGACTGACTGCCCAGGATCTGGTACGCTGATGTTCCTGTCCCAGGAAGATCCCATTGCCCATCCCTCTGGCTGTCCCAGGGCCCCTGGCAGTTTCTGCTTGAAGGCCTGGTGCTTGGGACGTCCATTTTAGCAGAGGAAGAAGTGTAACAGCAGAGCGGATGGCCCTAAGTGTGCCTTTCAAGACCATGTTTGCATCTCTTTGGAGGAAACTAATAACAGCATCAGCATTCTCTTCAGTTTTTCTCTTCAGTACCTGACAGTTACAAGCTTAACTCCAGCCTAGCTAAGTGTTTTAGCAGGGAATTTCCTTAGGTTTTTAATCCATGTGAGAATGCTTGAAGCCAGGAATCCCAGTGGAGCCTGTGTGCTGTGTAGGGACTCTTTGGAACCCTGACAGGAGAGGCTATTGAGACAGGGAGGAAGGGCATTGCCAAAGGAGAGGAACTTGGGAGGGCAGCCAGCCAGGGAGCAGGGATTTATAGCCTTGTAAATGAATTCTGGGATCTTGTGCTCCCTCTTCCTAAAGCACTCAGTGCAGAGTATGCAGCTTCCATCACTCTACCTGATGCATGGTACATTTTAGTGAGAGGAAGTGTATGTATGATAGACACTGGGTGACTGGGATTCCATCTGAGAGGAGACTGGCAAAACAAGGATTAGCCTTGAGCAAAGACAATAGGATGTGATTTACTCAGAAGAGTTTTATATCACTGCTGTACAGTGCTAAACTGCTAGAACAGGCCCCTGGCTGAGCAGATGGGTTCCAGGAGAAACTGGTCCCTCCACAGTACTGAACAGATTAAAGGGGAATGAGTTGGATTTCTGTGTGGGAGTTACCAGCTGCCCTTGTGGGGCTGGGCAGGGATGTTTGGGCTCACTGGGCCTTTCTCCATATTGGATAGGAATTTTGGGTTGCTCAGAGGAGTAATTTTGTCTCCCTCTTGCACAAAAGGCTAAAAAAAGGTTGCAAAGATTTTAAATCTTTTTTTATATTAATCAGGTTTAAAAGTGTATGGGACTAGAGATGGCAGCATTCTCCTTGGACTATTCCAGCCACACAATATCCCTGGTTGCTTCGTTCCTGCCCATCTGTATAAGAAGGATAAGTGTAACCTTGCTTACAGACTAGTACAACATCTTAAGAATCATTAGAGTTGTCAGGAGAATAGCTACAGTAGTTGCTTTTGCATCTCTTCTTTACACCAAGATGCCCCACTGCATAAAATTTAAAGAGCAGGAGAAGCTAAGCAAGAATTAGGTGTAATTTCATTGTGTTTGTGTCCCATATATAGATTCACCAAGACCTAGGATTGACCAACCACGTGCCTTTATTGAAAAAGTCCCTGGAGCAATTTGTATACCGAGTAAAAGCCATGTTGGCCTTCAATCACTGCCAGGAAGCATTCTGGGTGGGCATCCTCAAAAACAGGGACCTGCAGGTAAGGATCACAGCACTGCCAATCCTGTGAAGTGGGGTGTTTTGGTTTTTTTTTGCTTTGGATACTGTCACAGCTCAGGGAAATTGCACCTGTATTCCCTCTCCATGGTCCAGCATGGGCAGCCACTCTCAGGCTTCCAGCTCCCCAGCCGTTGCTTCTCTTGGCTGAAGACCCGCATTTCTCTCCCACCTGACTGGGATATTTCCAGGCCACACACCCCTGTGCCTGCACTGTGAGTTCCTCCGCAAGGCAGTCTGGCTAAACACGCCTGTGTTGTCTTCTCCTCAAAGGCTATAAACAGCGTAATTTCCCGCAGTGAAGTTACCACACAGCTCTTTCCAAGCAACCATGTTTATTCCTAAGGAGAAAGCATTACAGAGAAAACATTAAAAACAATAAAAGAACCTACATGCATCCTAATAAGCTTACCAGAGATCACCCCAACCTCAACAAGGGCTTTGGCATCAAAGTCAGCAGATCGACCTCTCGTACTGTTTGCAGATAGGAGGGAATCTTTCAAATCCCACCAACAAGGTTTTCTGTAGTCACAGTTCATAACAGCTGCTAGCTCAGAACAAGCAACCTCATGAAAATTTTAGCCCTTCCTTTATGCAGCCTGGGTCTTTGATCTGGGAAGGGGTGATGTGTAGACAATGGGCTTAGCTTCAAAAGGCTTGGGTTTTGCATAACTGGACGAGTTACATTTGCATACACCTCCCTCTGGAGATTCCTGGGAAGCTCATAATGCTTCCCAACATTTACTTTAGTGCTGTCTCCACCTAAAGACGTTACATACAGTCCCACAATAATATATAATCCTTTGAATTTTTAATACAAGTAACTTCCAACTTAAACTTAATTCAGTAAGGTTTGTCCGGATATTGCAGGAAATTGCCATATCTGTCACAGGTACAACTTAAACGTCACATTGAGACAAGCTTGAAAAATAATCAAATTCCATTTTAAAAAGATGTGAAAAGACCATCCAGGTTGCATGATTAATCTCTGGAAGGTCAGGAAATGCCAAAGATTGCTGTGCTCATACAGCCTTATCTCTGACCCTTGTGTGCATGCATCATTATCATACAGTTTTTAATGACATGGTCACCAACAATGATTTCATCTAGTGCACAGAGAGTGAGGCAAGAGTCTGACATTTACTGACAAATAATGACCTACTAGGACAGAAACAGAGTAGATGTGCCCACAATACAATTGCTATTGGCCATCTAAAAATAATTGTTTGTATTAAATTAAACAAGTGTTACTAGCTTGGAAAAGTGACTCTAAAAAATCTAATGGTATGGTTAGGTATTGAGTGTCTCTTGATGCCAGATCGAATATGCTCAGATTACAAAGAAAACAATGTTTTGTTTCCTAATGTCCAGCCCTGCAATTCAGCCTGGAAACTGTGACTCAAGTTAGGTCTTGTCATCTTGTACATTATCATCATCATCAGTAAGATGAGGTATACATTTGCTTTGGTCATCAAAGTCAGTAGATCAGTCTCATAAAGTTTGCAGATAGGAAGGAATCGTTCTTGCATGGTCGCTTTTCAGAGTAGAGCTGCACCTTAAATACACTTAAAAACTAAAATATAAATTCTAAGTGTAAATGTTTTCAATCAATAAAATTAATTATTTGTAAGTGTATTATATTAATATGTTTATTCTCATCGTTCAGTGAGCATTCCTCTGCTTCGTTCACTGCATACCAGGTAGCTTATGTAGTCAGGGCCAGATTCTGATCTGAGTTGCACCAGGGTAAATCCAGAGTAATTCCAATAATGTCAGCATATAGAATTTGACCCCGAATGAGGCAGGAGTTCTGTAGACACCTGTAGAGGTGTCATTCACTGTTTACTCCTGCCCTCTTGGCTGTGCACTGAATGAGACAGTGGTCTTGCAGAACTGTAGTATGTGACCAAGTCATTCAGACACTCTGGTGTAATAACTCTGCCCCTGGTGTTTTTGAGTTAAGATTGTACAGGCAGCCTTAATGTTTTGGTGTTTACTGGCTTCTGAGTGCTTCACTGTGTTACATTAATATTCTCCTGCCAATGTTTTGTACTGAATTGTCACAAGTCAGTGACAGAAAGACACTGCTCTCACAAGCCTTTCCCCTTGCAACTGATCTCCACCAACAGTAGTGTAAATAGAAAGCACCCAGAGTCATGTGAGGCCCTATTCATTTTAAAAAATGGGGGTTACTTTTGGTTTAACTGCCTGCACTACAAGCATGCTTGTTCAGAGAAAGATCAGCGGCTGTCTGTGCATTGTTAGTGGAATTGATGCTGAATATTTTTGCACTAGCTCTTTAAGTTGAGAGAGCATTCATTTTTTACCGATTCTCACTTGGGTGAAATTCAGAGGTCCTTGTGCACCACTTCATTGCTGTTCTGTAGGCTCGGATGGGGAATAACTGGTGCACAGGCTTGTGTGGGGACCCCTGCACTGAGAAATGCTGTCCAAAGACAAGCGAATAGACAATTTTTATTTTTGCAATGTTTGACATTTAGGAGCCCTGACTGCCCCTTGCCTTTTCCCTTCTTTCTGATGGCTGGCACTTCAACTTGGGCCAGATGGGGGCCCCAAAACTGCCAAACCTCATTTCATAATTTTTTTTTTTTAAAAAGAGGCCTGGCCATTTTCTTTCCCCACCCCCACCGAAGTGAAGCAGTACATTGAGGGGGAGGAGAGGGGCAGCTCATTTCTGCAGAGAAATCTCATTTGCAACCAAATGCAATGCATTTCTATTCCAGCAGGGGTCGCTATTTCTGCTCCATGCATGAATTTGCCTGATAAAGTATTTACCACGTTCACTTTAGGGAGAAGAGATCCTGTCTCAGGATTCTGAAGAGAATGACCCAGGGGAGGGAGTTTCCCAGCTCCCCAGAGAAGATCCTGCTGAGGTATTTCTGTACACGGCAGCAGTGCCTATTGCTTTTATGGTTCCTGAGCATAACCCTGATGGTATTTCAGTTGAGTTACAGTTTGTGTCTGCTCTCTCGGCAGGGCAGGAGCAAAGACCATCTCTCTCACTTGCTCAGCTCCATGACAGTGCTTTCTCCTCACCATATTAGGGTCTTGCTGCCTGCTGAAAAAAATCTATCTTAAAAAAAAAACGCAGACAGCAAAGCCCTTAGGTTTTCTTGACTGAGTTAATAACCTGAGCGATGCAAGCAGAATCAGTCTTGTTTGCTATTTTGAGTTCAAAATGAGGCACAGCCTCTTGGTAGGGTGAGAAGGCTATGTGCCACAGTTGGTAAATCAATGGGAGTGTTCTGCTTCCTTCAGATGAACTGGGCAGAGTCTGGGGCAGGGGTGGACAAACTTTTTGGCCCAAGGGCCACATCTCGGTGGGGAAATTGCATGCAGGGCCATGAATGTAGGGCTGGGGCAAGGGGTTGGGGTGCAGGAGGGAGTGCAGGGTGTGGGAGGGTGTGCAGTGTGCAGGAAGGGGCTCAGGGCAAGGGGTTGTGTCAGAGGAGGGGTGCAAGGTGTATGAGGGGGCTCAGGGAAGGGGGTGGAGGTGCAGGAGGGGGTGTGAAGTGCAGGAGGGAACTCAGGTCAGGGAGTTGGGGTGCAGGGTATATGAGGGGGCTCAGGGAAGGGGGTGGAGGTGCAAGAAGGGGGCGGCAGGGGGCACAGGGATGTGGTGCCAGCCGCTTCCAGGAGCGGTGCGGGGCCCACAGCACCACGGGGGGGTGCCAATCCCGCAGGCCGTATCCAAAGCCCTGACAGGTCAGATCCGGCCCACGGGCCATAGTCTGCCCACCCCTGGGCCAGGGGATACATCCTGGACTTGAAGTTAAGCTAAAGAAAGTCCAGATGAACCAAAACTGGGACCCCAAATCAACCAGCCTATTTCCCTTTCTGGCTACTGGGAGGCAAAGACACTCCAGCTCCCTCTTGTGTCCATTGGAATGGGAAGAATACTGGTGTCTCCTAAGCAGTCATTGAAATGAAAGCTGGAAATGCCTTATTAGGCCACATTTTATCCCTCTTCCTACTGCGCCGGTAAGGGCAGGATTGTTCCCTACAGCATACTTCCAGAGGCAGCTAGTGGCTAGCTCCACCGTCTTGCTTCTGTAGGCAGGAGTGCAGGCTCCCACCAGCCCCAGACCCTTAAGAGCCCTTTCTCAGTCACTAGCAGCTTGTGCTATTTTTTTACACATACACACACACTCTCACTCACTCTCATGTTTTTTCTCTGCCTGTTTCCCCACCTCTGGCCTGAGTGATCCTGCTACTTAGGACAGTGGTTTCTCTGCCTCTCTCCCACCCCTGGAAGGCAGGCCTTTGCTGGTGTCCTGCTGTAGTGGCTCTCCCCAGCGGCACTCTCAAGCAGTCCTCCCAAGCTGCAGGGCATGAGCTCCAACCAAACCTTGTTGACAACATAGATTAATAGATTCCATGGCCAGTGTGATCATCTACTCTGACCTCCTGTAAAATACAGGCCAGGAACTGCCCCACAATAATTCCTAGAGCAGATCTAGAAAAACAGCCAATCTTGAGTTTAAAATGGTCACTGATGGAGAATGACTCCAATTACAATTAATTACTCTCCCTGTTAAAAACGTACATCTTATTTCCAGTCTGAATTTGTCTAGCTTCAACTTCCAGCCATTAGAGCATGTTATGCTTTTATCTCCTAGATTGAAGAGCCCATTATTAAGTATTTGTTCCCCATGTAGGTACTGATAGACTGTGATCAAGTCAGCCCTTAACTTTCTGTTCATTAAACTAACTCAAATGAGTTCCTTGAGTCTGTCACTATAAGGCATATCTTCTAATCCTTTAATCATTCTTGTTTCCACCCAACACCTCTTCCTCTGCCAGCTAACTTCCCTATCCCAGTCAGTGTGGCAGTGCCTAGTCCTCCAGGGTCAGAGATAGCAGGACAGGAATGGGTTACCTAGGGAGGTGGAATCTCCTTCCTTAGAGGTTTTTAAGGTCAGGCTTGACAAAGCCCTGGCTGGGATGGTTTAGTTGGAGATCGGTCCTGCTTTGAGCAGGGGGTTGGACTAGATGACCTCCTGAGGTCCCTTCCAACCCTGATATTCTATGATTCTATGACAGAGCTACAAAATAGGCAGGTCTGGAGGATCAGGCAGGAGATTCTACTCTCTTTCCCTTCAAGACACTTCCCTCAGGATCCCTTGCACTCTCCCTTCCACATCCAGTTTCTCCTCCTTGGATTAGTACCACCACCCACTCAAACACCTCTCAGCCCTATGCAGCTACTTCAGCACTCCTTGGTATCCACTGTGTTGCTAAAACAGCTTGGAAATGGTGAGTAGGTGAGTTATAGGATACTTACAAGGAAATCATGGGAGTTTGACCTCTACTCCCATAATTCTCCAAAACCAGAGGAATCCTATAGTACTTGGCAAAAAATGTTTGAGAATGGACTGATAGCGTGCAGTAAACAGAGGTCCACAAGGTCCTCCGGGACTGTCTCAGATCAGTGCAGCAGAGTACTAGTGGCGTGTTAGCAGACTGGATATGGGGTGAAATTTCAGGGCTTCTTATAGATGCACTGAATGGTTGGTGGAACAAATGTAGAAGATGGCTGATGAAGTAGAAATCATTCAGCTCCATAGTGCAGACAATACCTACATGAGAGAAGAATTTGGCCCTTTTTTGTTTGAATATGGACATTTCTGGCCTGCCAATGATCACTTAGGAGGACTTGTATGCAATCTGTGTCTGCAGGCCCCCAAGGTTACATCCAGTCCTTGGTTCTATAAATATTTCTTCTCTTTTCCAGGAGGAAGGTGACATTTCAGGGAGCGAGGATGGATCCGAGCACAATGATGATGATGAAGAGAGCTCTGAGTAGACCTTGTAGCCTCCCAGCACTCTGTTAGCTCACCATAGCATAGAAGCTTGCTATTATCCAAAACAATCCACACCTGTCACAGCTGAATAGACTCTGTGGGTTGGAGGCTGTATGCCTCCAACATGATGAGATGTTAATACTGTGCAACAGTAAAGAAGGTTCACTTGTAGCCAGATCTTTATAGATGGGATTTAGTCCCCATTTAGTGTTGGTTGTGCAGTCTATATCTGTTGGGAGTTTTGCACCCAGACATATTGAAAAAAAAGTCAGACCTAGAACGATTTTTATTTGTTCTTGCCTCCAGATCCTCCCTAACAAACTCTTTTCCATATGAATTCCTTTCCTTCTGTGCTGCTCTAGGGAGTGGATTTCAAGGGGAAACTCTGTGGCTTTCTGTCTAGAAACATATTGAGAGTTTGGATTAGTTGCCCAAGTGAGAGAAGTGATATTTGCAGAAATAATCTGCCCTGTTCTTGAACAGTAGCTATGAAATATTTTCACAGAACCCATCTTCCCTCAACAGTCCAGCCGTTGGAGCCCTCGTGAGAATGACCTTTGTGCATTGGCCCTTTATTGGGACAGAAGAATCAGTGGGAGAGCAATCCAAATTCCCTCATTAGTGGCAACATAAAGTGCTCATTAATGTTGAGGGAAAGGCTTGTTATAGTTGTAAATTACAAAAAACACCCTAATTCCAAATGCCTTGTTTACTAACTCATTGAATAAACTGTAATTCCTGCCCTGAGCACATGAAATTGGTGACTGACTGTGTATTGTAAGGGTACAGCATAAAGCTCTCCTTGTGGGAGAAGCTCTCTGGGGGTCTAACAGCTCCGACCAACATGCCTTTTCTAGAGCATAGCCTGGATGTGTGTGGGGCAGCCATGGCTGTGATGATTACAGAGGCAGGAGCGGTGAGTTACATGGGCCCATGCTGCCCAGGCTCCATCAATATTCAGGGCCGGGGGCCCAGCTCCACCAGTGTTTGGAGGCCGGTCTCTCCCCCAGCCCTGCCTGGAGCGTTCCCCGTCCCCGCCTGCTGCCCTCCTTCTCCCCCCGCCCTCGGTGTGCCTCCCCCCAGCCCCGGAGCGTCCCTGCCTGATTAAAAGTGGGCGGCTGCTCTCCTTTGCCGCTCCATGCTGCTGTCCTTTGCCGGTGCTGCCGCCTAAGGCTAGGCTACAGCACAAGAGCAGGCTGAGGCAGCTGGCTACTGCTGCTGCACCAGAGGAGGTGCACACATGATTGGTAGGACCCAGCACCCAGTGGAAGAAGATGCCGAAACAGACCTCTGAATCTCTCACCTGAGCAGCTGCCCAGGGCTTCCTTGAGTGTCTGATCCTGTAATCCTGCCCCCCACGGTGACGGGGCAAAGGGCAGCCCCTCCCCATGAGGCTATGGTGTGGAGCAGCAGGCTGCAGCAGGGGAGGAAGCAACATGTAATGGCAGCCCCCTCCAGCACCCACCCACCACAGGGGAGGTGAGGGGGCTTGGGTGAGTGTAGTGACACCCCGCCAACCGTCACTGTGTCTGCCCCACCCTCAGTGAGGCTACGGTGAGGGGCAGCAGCAGTGGGGGAGAGGGTTGGGGGGAGTCCTCCTCTCTGGCCCTAGCCCAGGGCTTACCTGTCTGCACCCCAAGCTCTTCATCCCTGGCCTTGTCCCACCCCAGAACCTGTGACCCCAGCCAGAGCCCTCGCCCCCTGTACCCTAACCCTGAGCCCCCTCCTACACACCTGCCCCAGCCAAGACCCGTCACCCAAACTCCCTCCCAGAGCCCATCCCCTGCACCCCAACTGCCTGCGCCAGCCCAGATCCCACACCCCAACTCCCTCCCAGAGCCTACCCCCCGCACCCCAATGCCTTCCCAGAGTCCACCCCCTGCCCCAGCCAAAAGCCCGCACCCAAATGCCCTCCCAGAGCCTGACATCATCCCCCTCCCACACCCAAACTTCCTCCCAGACCCTTAAGGAGGTTGCGGGGGGGGGGGAAGAGGAGGCATGACTTGGACCCTTCTGGGCACCACCAGATATTATACAAACCTGCTGCTCCTGTACTGAGGGTACTGAAGGGGGTGGCTATAGAGGGGAGGGGGAAGTGCTGGCTATAAGGGGTGTGAGAGGGGTGGCTATATGGGAAGGGTAGCAGTGGCTATGGGGGGCATTGGGGATGGCTAGAGGGTAGCCGTGGCTGTAGACGGGGGGGTGGCCCCAGGGTCGGGGGGGCTGCAGCGGGGGCTGGGGGCTCGAGGGAGTGGTCGTAGGGGTGTAGAGGCCATCACTAACCTCGCCCTCCTGTGCTCTTCCCAGGGTGGGGTGCCCTGGGCAGGGCTGTCTGCCCCTGGCTTGGGGCAGGAAGGAGGCAGGTCTCTGCTGGGATCTGGGCTTCCTGCAGGCTCACCCCCACCCAACGGCTCGTAAAGGCAGGGATCCGTCCTGTGCCCCTTTGCGATCCGTGCCCGCACATGCGCAGTGCTACAGGGGGCTGGGCGCAGAGTGACGGCGATGGCTATGTCACTGCAAGAGAACCTGGTGCAGCACGAGATCCACCAAGACTGGGCCAACTGCGAGTACATCAAAGTGATCACTAGCTCCATCAAGAAGATCACGGACTTCCTCAACTCCTTCGGTATGTACGCGCCTGACCTGGCTCCACCCTCAGGTTCCACCACAGCCCGGCTTCGCCCCCAGGCCTCACTCGGTCCAGCTCTTCCCTCAGGCCTGGTTCAGCTCCAGCCACCCTGCCAGGTCTAGGAAGGCTCCATCTTCTCATCCTGGTTCGACCCCGGCCTGGCTCCATCCCACCCTGGCCCCACTGGCCCCCGCGCTCTGTTAGGGTGAGGCGGGTTCTGCGGTCGGGGCTCCCCGGTGGGCGGAGGTGGGGCGCACCTGTCCTGGCTGGGTACCGCGGGGCCTGATGAGCCGCCCCTTCTCCCGCAGACATGTCCTGCCGCTCCCGACTCGCCACCCTCAACGAGAAGCTGACAGCGCTGGAGCGACGGATCGAGTACATCGAGGCCAGGGTGAGGGGTAGCGCAGGGGAGGCGACACCAGGGGACAGCCCTGGCACGGGATGGAGGGCTGGCCTGCGGGTAGCTCGAGGCAGGGCTCAGCCCACGCTTAGCACCTCAGGGACAGCCGGGGCCTTGCTGTTCAAGCGCCCCTGTGGCTTTTACCCCATCTCCAGTGGGTATTGCCCTGCTGTACCCCCACACCTCCCAGCCAGGCAGTAACGCTGTGCCCAGCACCACCCACCAGCTAATCTGCTCTTTACACAGTGGGGGGATGTGCGTGACTCCCACACAGAGCCCAGCTGCGCTAGTTGTTACTGTGGGGTGGTGTTGCAGGCCCTTCTCCCGAACAGCAGCGCTGGAGCTCCTGCCCATGCTACACTCTGGTGGGCATCCCAGCAGTACTTACATTGGGGCATTGGTTTTGGCAAACAGAGCTAGAGAGAGAACGGAGATCTTGGTGAATTGGTGACACTGGCCTGGGGAGGACTCCTGCCCCTCCCAGCCTTGCTGCGAGGGACGACTTTTACCTAGTTCCCAGTGTACGGGAGCTCTCATTAACTTTCCCTGAGTGGGCAGACTGGCTAGCCCTTGGTGATTGTAGGCTGTGCTCTCCTTCAGCAGGTAACAAAGGGCGAAACTCTCATCTAACTGCTGAAGGCTGGTGGGGAGCTGACCTGGAGAAGATTGTGCGGCTGTGCCAGAATTCACTGTAGGGCATCTGATTTCTGCATTACTTCTATTGGTTAGCAGGACTTCAGCTTGTTTCTGCCCCCTGCAATGCAGTATCTCTGCCTTCAGTGCATGGCTCCAGAGGAAATTGATAAAATGCAAATGAGCATGTTGGATTCAGTGATTTGGTACAGACCGATTCATGCAGCTGTCAAATACTCCTGTGCCACTTAACCTCTCTCTCGTTCCCAGCTGTGCATGTAGAACTCTGACACTTTGTAGCTGCAGAATCTCTCTGGCCAAAGGTCACTTTGTGGGAAGAAAACTTCTCTGGGAAGCTGACCGGCTGAGGAAGTGGGTGTCCCTGCTGTTCATGGGCCACTCCACTGGTGGTTTCAGTTCCTTTAGCAAAGTGGTTCTCAACCCTTGGGGACCGCAAGCAGGTTTCAGGAGGTCCTCCAAGCAGAGCCAGTTAGACTCACGTGGGCCCACGGCAGAAAGCCGAAGCCCCACTGCATGGGGCTGCAGCTTGGGGCCCTGAGCCAGGCCACCAGGGGCTGAAGCCAAAACCTGAGCCATGTAGCTTCTGCGGAATCTCTATGGCATGGGGCCCCAGGTAAATGCGCTGCTTGCTACCCCTTATCACTGGCCCTGGCTTTTATATGCAGAAAACTAGTTGTTGTGGCACAGGTGGGCTGTGGACTTTTTATAGCATGGAGGGGGCCCTCAGAAAGAAAAAGGTTAAGAACCCCTACTTCAGCAAACACTGCAACTTATCTCTCTTAGCAAAAATGTCAAGTATATCCATCCTTCCAGTCCGTGAGCAGAGCAGTAGATGGGCAGTGTGTGTTTGTGGCGGTAGGGGGCAGGAGGCAGGGGAATAGGTAATGTGCCAAGTTTAAACTCTCCGGGCAGGGTGGGTTCAGAATTTTCTATGTCTTTTGTATTCTGTAGCGTCACATGGGGGTGTCTTCCATTTGTGTTTCAACAATAAACTGCCTCTGCTGATGAGGTCTGAGCTGATGTATAGCTGGAGTGCATTGTCTGGGTTGCCAGGATGCCGGGGCGGGAGCATGGCCATGAAGTGCAGATGGCCAAGAGAAGTCACAATGGCCTGTTACTGTAACAGGTGCAGTTGCCTTTTGCTATTCTTCTCTTCCTTCCCCCCTCCACCAATTCCTGCCCCAATGGGCTTCGCTCCTCCCCCCCTAAAATGATTAGTGATGAAATAGTTAATGGTGCCAGTGCACTAAGTTTGAATGTTAACACTCCAATCCTGTTAATGGGTGCTCACCCCACTGATTCACTGTCAGGCTCTCTTCAGACAGAAGCAGCCAGCACTGCAGTGGTGCTGTGGGTCCCATCTGAAAGTCAAGAGATTTTTGGTGAGCTCATGGGTGTCTTTGGCCTCCTGGTTTCTGAGACCTTGGGGCTGACAGATCACATCAACAAACAGGGCTAGAAACTGATGGGTTTTAAATGAAAGCTGAATTATCAGCTCATCCCAAGACTCCAGGACTCTGGGCCATTCCAGGGTGATGGTGGTTTCTGTCATTCTGAGCCTTAGCGGCTGAAGGAGAGCTCATAAGGGGGAATGGAGGGAAGAGTTTATCTGCTCTGATAGGCCCAAGCCTTTCCTGCTATCCTACTGTCTTGGCAACCTTTAGGAAAGTGTTTCTAATATGCTGTTCTCTTGTTTAGTCTAACAGAAAGAAAGTTGAGAGAGGGGTCTGATTATCTCCTGCTATATTTACAGCAGCAAACACCAGGTGGGGAAGGGCTCTTTAAGCTAAAGGACAATGTTGGCACAAGAACAAAGAGAGATGATCTGGCAGTGTACAAATTCAGGTTGGAAATTAGAACGAGGTTTCTAACTGTCAGAGGGATGAGGTTCTGGAACAGCCTCCCAATAGAAGTTGTGGGGGCAAACGTGGGGCATCGTATGAATTTTCCCAGTTAGATGATGAGGGCTTTGTTCTTTTTCTAATGCTAAGGAAATGCTATGACCTACCAGCCTCAGCAGAGTGGCAGTATTTACAACTAAGGCAGCAGCTAACATCAATTTGGCCAGATGCCCTAGGACTGCCAAAGGCCCCAGAACTATTGGAAACTTTAAAAATGCTTCATAAACACTCCAGATCCTTGTCCACTATATATTACTCCTGGGGGAATTCTGTGCCACTGCGCAAGCACAGAATTCATGTCCCCTGCAGATTTCTTTGCTTCCCTGCAGAAAAATGACTTCTGACAGTGAAGCAAAGGGAAGCCGCAAGAGCGGTCACAAGCCACTCCCTGGCAACGCAGGCTTGTCGCTTCAGGTGCCCAGAGCAGACAGGGGAGAAGTATATCACTGTTGGGAGGGCTGGGGGGACAGGACTGGGTGTGTGTGGGGAGACACCAATCACTGCTGCGGGATGCCTGACGTGGAGGGGCAGGGCTTTGGGATGTTTCTGAGGAGATAGGTTTGGGTTAGGCTCTGTCCTCTCAGGCAGAGTAGAATGTAGCAGCCTGCCTGCATAGTGAATTGTTCCCATTGTTCTTCGTGAATTCCCACAGGAGCATAAAACAGGTATAAACCTTTTAAGGCTCCTTTACATTGCCAGAATGGTGTAAAGGAGCTTTATTGCAAATGACAGTATGGCCTTATAAATGTTTACGGTGCTTTAGTGATTAGAACTGGTTGAAATTTTTGGACTGAAAAATTTTCCTATCAAAATGTGCTCCGTGAACTGTTTACTACTGACCTTCTGGAGATGGTCAATAGCCAGTTAAATTATGAGCTTGATTCCCCAGCCCTCACTTGCTCTTCAGTTGCCTATGATGTAATACTGAGCATATGGCTGCATATATTTGTTGACAAATAACCAGAAACAAATGATCAAACCTAGCTATGTTACTATTAGACAAAGGGAGTTTGGGAATTTCCTCCAATACTCCCCACTCCCATTCTCCATTCATTGTATTGTAGTTTAAATAAATTACCAAAATAATTGAAACTGGCATGATTGTATTGCATTATTTTGACAAAATATGCAGAATTTTAAAATATTGTGCACAGAATTTTTAATTTTTTGGTGCAGAATTCCCCCAGGAGTAATGTGATGCCCAAGAGCTGTCGGACACTTTAATTACTCCTAGGTTGAACATGCTTTGTATTTCTGTACAAATTCATTCCTGCACCTTGCCAGTAGCCCTGTAGGGTCTGCTGGGCAGTGGCTGTAGTTCTTCTGTACTTTATAAAGTAGTGAGCAAGCGACCAGGGGCCACTAACAGGGAGTTTTGAGAGGGAGTTTGGAAGGGGAGTGGGAAGGGGGCAAGGTACACTTGCCATTCTTTAGAACCTTAACCTAAACTATAATCAAAACTTCTTGATTTAAACAAAAACCCTATCATTAAGCTAGGTAGCTGTAGGAGAGAATGCAGGCAGAAGCCCAGCAGCAGAGTGGGGGCTATCCTATTTATTGCACTCAGTGTGGCATGTATGATTACCTGCCCTGTGGGCAGGTGGCTTATGTGTGCATTCCATGCAAGGAGGTCCTGGCCCTCAGAGATCGTGTACGGGCTTTGGAGGCCAGGGTGGCGGAACTGGAGGAGCTAAGGGAGGCAGAGAGGTATGTTGATGAGGCTTTTACTGTAGATTTGTCCCACCTCCGCTCAGAGAGCCCCTGCGCTTTTAAGGAGGATGAAAGGCCCAAGGAAGGGGAACAGTCAATGAGAGCAGAGGGAAACCTTCCCATAGTTGGGACCCTCCTTCCAGATGATGTTGGAGTATCCTCTCGCACTGAGGTTACCTCTCTCGGGGAGGGAACTCCAGTCATTAGGAAAAGGCAGGTGTTAGTAATGGGAGATTCGATCATTAGAAACACAGATAGCTGGGTTTGTGATGACTGGGAGAACCGTATGGTGACTTGCCTGCCTGATGCAAAGGTTGGGGATCTCTCGAGGCATCTAGATAGACTTATGTGTAGTGCTGAGGAGGAGCCAGTGGTCGTGGTACATGTAGGTACCAATGACATAGGGAAGGGTAGGAGAGACATGCTGGAGGCCAAATTTAGGCTGCTAGGAAAGAGACTGAAATCCAGGACCTCTATGGTGGCATTCTCAGAAATGCTTCCAGTTCCAAGTGCAGGGCCAGGTAGGCAGGCAGAGCTGCAGAGTCTCAATGCATGGATGAGATGATGGTGTAGAGAGGAGGGGTTTAGATTTATTAGGAACTGGGGAAACTTTTGGGATATGGGGAGCCTATACAGGAAGGATGGGCTCCACCTAAACCAAGGTGGATCCAGACTGCTGGCACTTAACATTAAAAAGATTGCAGAGTAGTTTTTAAACTTAGGCCTGGTCTACACTGGGGGGAGGGGAGGGATTAATCTAAGATACGTCGACTTCAGCTACGCTATTCTCGTAGCTGAAGTCGACGTATCTTAGATTGACTTAGAATCGCTTACTTCGCGTCCTCGCAGCACAGGATCGACGGCCGCCGCTCCCCCGTCGACTCTGCTTCTACCTCTCACCCTGGTGAAGTTTCGGAGTCGACGGCAGAGCGATCGGGGATCAATTTATTGCATCTACACTAGACGCGATAAATCGATCCCCTATAGATCGATCGCTATCTGCTGATCCGGCGGGTAGTGTAGACGTGGCCTATGAGATGGGGGAAAGCCAATTGCTGCAGAGGAGCACGTGGATCAGACAGAGACTTCTCTTAGAGGAGAGTCTATTGATAGTGAGTCTCTAGATTTTAGTCAGGAGGAGAGGATGAAAGAGGATAAAATATGGGCCAGATCAGACAGGAAACATTCACATAAAAAAGAATCTGACACATCAGAAAAGGGCAGACAAATAAACAGTGACAAGTTTTTAAAGTGCTTGTACACAAATGTTAGAAGTCTAAATAATAAGATGGGTGGACTAGAGTGCCTCCTGTTAAAGGAAGATATTGATATAATAGGCATCACAGAAACCTGGTGGAGTGAGGACAATCAATGGGACACAATCGTTCTGGGGTACAAAATATATCGGAAGGACAGAACAGGTCGTGGCGGGGGGGAGTGGCACTAT